GCGCCCTATAGCAAAAACCTCTCCAAAAAAAAGAAAAAACAAAACAAAACAAAACAAAAAAACAAAAAGGAAATAATGCAAGTCATCTCCCACATGCCTCTAACACTCAGAATTAACTCCAAGAAGATAGGAAGTATGTATAATCCATCAGATGACCAGAAACCACCACTGCAGAGGCAAAAGAAATATGGGGAATCAAGAAAATATCTCTCTCCCAAAGGGGATAAAAACAGCCCTTCATCATCCTCAGACAGTACAATGGAACTTGTGGAAAGGTCAGATAAAGAATTTAGGATATTCATAGTGACAAAGCTAACAGAGATGCTAGAGAAGAGAAACAATGAACTCCAAAAACTGCAGGAAAAAAGAGACAATGAGTTCCAGGAGGTGAGGAAGTTCTTCCATGATCTGAAAGAGGAAATACACACCATAAAAAAGAATCAAAGGAACTGTTAGAGATAAAGGTTGTAATACGGGAAATCAAAACCTCCCTTGAAAGTATTAAAAGAAGATTAAATCATGCAGAAGACTGAATCTCAGATGTAGAAGATGAACTACTGACCGAGAAAAATTCGCCAAAAAGACTGAGAAAATAATTCCCCAAAATGAGAATAGTATATGAGTAATACTAGATACCATCAGATGCCCAAACATCTGGATAATCGGTATTCCAGAAGGTGAAGACAGTAATCAGGGCATTGATAATCTATTCCATGAAATCCTGAAAGAAAACTTTCCAAACCTAGAGAGTCATTCAAATATTCCGACTCAAGATATACAAAGGACCCCACATAGAATCAACCCAAGAAGATCTTCTCCAAGGCACATCATAGCCAGATTGACCAAAACCACAGACAGAGACGAGGTAATAAAATTGGCAAGAGAAAAATGTCAAGTTACTTTTAAAGGCTATCCCATCAGGCTAATATCAGACCTCTTGTTGAAAGCAATGAGTGCATTGGAAAATATATTCAAAATGGTAAGTGAAAAACAATTTCAACCAAAATACTATATCCAGCAAAATTATCCTTCATATGGGGGAAAAAAGCTTGAAACATTCTCAGATAAATAAAACCTGAAAGAATCTACCAACACCAGACCAGCTCTTCGTGAAGTTCTGAAGGGTGTACTATGCCAGGAAAACTAAGACAAATAAGAGAACCAAAAATGACCAAGAAAGATGCCAACTTAATAATGGGACAAGTTCTGAAATATCAATAATAATGTTGAATGTTAACAGAAAGGTTAGACCACAGTAACACTGCAAATTCAACAAAAGAGGGATTACACAAGACCGAAGTGGCGAAATAGAATTCTATATTTTTTTCTAAAATGTTACTGATTTTCTTTTATGCTTCGTTTTCCAGACTTAAGGATTTTTTTTTTTCTTTTGAGTTGTTAGACTCAGCAATTTGTTTAAAAAAAAAAAGGAAGTTTTAAAATTGAAACAAACTTTTCTCCCTTCCTGACTCCTTGGCAATTAGAAAATATTTGTGTGCATTCTTATTTTGTGGCCGAATGGTTATTTACATAAGTTGAATAATAC